TCCTTTGAGTCAAGAGATGGGTATGTACTCTGCCGTCGTCAGGTAAAAAAAACATTTTCTTGTATTATACCTATGCTTTATTTAAAGTAATAACGAGCGAACGTATGTCACTTGGACAAAAATCCCTGTTGATTAGGCCTCATCCACAACACCCAATTTTGCATACTGAATGATAATCTGTTCTTCCAACCTGGATTGTTTGTTATTGAATGAAGTAGTTTTTCCGTTAGTAGGCGTCAACTGAAATATATCAGTATTTTGTGCCACAAAATGGTTTTAAATTGGTTTGGTTTACCGAGTCGACATAGTACCGCATTTGTTTATCTCGAACCGCCTAAGAAATCGTTAGTATTTGTCTGTATGCAAGTCGGCATTTAGATTGTAGAACCTACTGGCATACGCTCAGAATCCACTCTATTCAGCTCTTTGGCTAAGCGGTCCAATGTGATGCAAGTTTGGACACCCACCTTAGTAATTTCCTCGTCCTTCATTGGATAACTCCTGGCAAATCAAATCACTGCACTTCAATCTTATCTGCAGCGGCTATCGTTGCCAAATGCTAAGTAGCTCACCACACCATTCCGCTTTAGCAAGTAAGTTGTCCTACCAGGTTACAACTGTTTCACTGAATTTTTATTGTACCCCGTGAACGATCATAGCCTAGAGGCAGAGCTTTTACACCCCTGAACTGTATCAGCACTTGCATGCCCCAGCATTATGTCAGGCGATATTATGTATCTCAAAAACGAGCAAATTACAGTTGCTGCAGTGTTGAGAGAGCCACTATTGAACTCGTCGTTCAAAAAAGGGCTCTAAGCTTTAGATAACCAGTTTGCAAGAGAATACAAGCATACTGGTCTAGTACCTACAATTTCGAAATAGTCGTCGTTTTCCGATCCAGTCAGATTACAGTTAAGAACGTCCGAGGAATGCCGGGAACCGGTAGACTTAACTGCCTTTCGCGCACAAAAATCTGCAGAATGGAAGAAGGTCAATTACTGCTTCGAATACGAGCGGACCTGCATTCGGCCGGTCTGACTCACATGTTATTCGACGGCAGTCTTAACTGTGACGCATTAAGTGACTAACCTCTTAGCCGGTCTCCGATTTCTTGAGTGGTGCATAGCTTTCGTTTAACAAAAACTGTTTTACGGCTGTATTTTACGGACTGGAATTTAGACAAGATGTGGCGATTTTATTACTTTGACTTAAGCTGAGCATTGAATGGTTTCTTGCCTTTATGCTGGAGCCAACAATGTCATAAGAGTATAATTACACTATAGCTGAAATGTTTGGATAAGGAGGCCAAGATTGACCATCTCAGTGTTTAATTGATCCACATGTGCGAAATGTTATGACCACGGTTGTAGTCAAACACACACAGACAGTGGGAAGAATTAAGTAGAGTTAGCATAAAGGCTGCTCTTTTTTGTGTGATTACCAGTGAGGAGTGGACGCGTGGTAACCGGAATGTAAAATATAAGAAAACCAATCTAGGAAGTGTCTATGCTTGAAATACGATTAAGTTTCCCTGTGATGTTTCAATGTTACTCTGAAAATAGGACTTTATTCAGTGTTACTGCTAATTCCTTTGGTCACCAGTGCGAAGGCGGGGAGACAGGACAGCAGCAAGATAAGAGGCGACCTAGCTGGCGCCCGCACACATCGCCCTTCCTAGGCATATACGCACAGACGACACTGGTAACTAATGAGTTTCTTCTTCCTATAACAGTTGATTGGTTCCTGCTCCCTATAACGGCTGCTTACTTTTTGTTGATGTTTTATCTCTGACGATGGACTCCTGCATAAGAC